CATATATATGTGTATAACTGAATCACTTTGCTGTACACCAGAAACTAACACAACATTGTAAATCAATTATACTTCTTATACTTCAAGCCAACATGGGCTTCCCTGGTGGCGCAGTGGTTGAGAGTCCACCTGCCCATGCAGGGCACATGGGTTCGTGCTCCGGTCCAGAAAGATCCCACATGCCGCAGAGGAAAGGAACGAAAAAGAATATATACATATATATGTGTATAACTGAATCACTTTGCTGTACACCAGAAACTAACACAACATTGTAAATCAATTATACTTCAATAAAAAAAAGCCAACATGGGCTTCCCTGGTGGCGCAGTGGTTGAGAGTCCACCTGCCCATGCAGGGCACATGGGTTCGTGCTCCGGTCCAGAAAGATCCCACATGCCGCAGAGCGGCTGGGCTCGAGCCATGGCCGCTGAGCCTGAGCGTCAGGAGCCTATGCTCCGCAACGGGAGAGGCCACAGCAGTGAGAGGCCGGCGTACCGCAAAAAAAAAAAAAGCCAACAAAAGAGGTCATGTCTGAGAGGGGGTCTGAGAGACCTTTGTGGTAAAGTGTCTTTTTGACCGCCCCCCCACACACACACATTAACAGAGAGAAGAAAAAGGCAACAGGAATTGTACAGCTCTAGGGCTGCAAAGAACCTTTAAAATCCTTTAGTAAAACTTGCCCACTTTAAGATCAGAAAATGATGCTCAAGGAGGTTAAGATCAAGCTCACAGAGACAGAAGGACCATGCGGCCCTCCTGGTCTCCAGCCAGGAGTCAGACATATCTGATTATCACCTTGCTCCCAAGGAAAACCCCAGGCCAGAGAGTCTCTGCCCTGGCTCAAGCCAGAGTCACCAGGGGGCTTTAAAAAGCTCCTCTGCCCAGACTGCAACTGGGACTCGGGATGGGGATTGTTCCAGTGTGGAAAACACAGCCCAAGCTGATCTCTACCCATTCCCTCCTACTCTAAGTCCACCTGTCTTCCTGCCGCGGGCTTTCAGGGGTGTTTTATTTACTGCGTGGATGCAGTGATGGAAAGGGCTCTGTGAGGCTGTACAGAAAGAAGCCCAAAGAAGCGTCCTCCAATTTGTCCTTGATACGAGAGGGGCCGAAGTTCTCTAGGGTTTGGCTTCACATGCTTCTGTTCTCTCTTTCTCAGCCCCTAAACGTCTCTGTGGCAAATATTTCGAGTTACTGAGATGGAAACAAAAAAAGCAAATGTATAAGGAGATCTCCTTAAATAAAGGCACTAACTCCATTGGCAAATTCTTCAGGAATGTGACTGTATTACTGCTCCCTCCACCCAGGACTCCTGTCTCCCATGTGCTCATCATGTTAGCTTTTCGAAATCAGGACTAATTTACCTGAGGTCCTTGCTTGAGGCTCCTATCAAAGTGGGGATGTCAGAAAAGCTCCCCAGATGAAAACGGGACCCCTTACATGAAAGACATGCCATAAAGGGATGAGGGGAGCCCCTGCAGTCCACCACGTGCGTACAACACCAAGAGTAAACCCTAAGGTCAGCTATGGACTTTGGGTGATTATGATGTCAGTATAGGCCCATCCTTGGTAAAAAAAAAAAAAAAAAAAATGTATCTCTCTAGTGAGTGATGTTGATAATGGGGGAGGCTACACGTGTGAGGGCAGGGTGTATATGGGTAATGGTCAACTAGAGATAAGAAGCATTGGTCAATTTTATTACTTTCAAACTTGATTGTTCTACGTTCCCAGAATTCAAACACACTACACTGGATCAAAGGAAGCCGCTTTTTAAAATCTGCTTAATCTGAGTTACACGGTAAAAGTACAAAGTGCTTTGGGTCACAAAGAGTAAATGTTGCACAATGCATCCTCCTATCACTCTGATTCTGCAATAGATAATGGCCTGAATTTTTGTACCATGCTTAGTTTTGCTATATTTTTTATTATTAGTTGGTCTATGAAATATTTATCTGTATTATCATTTTACATTAATATTTAACAAAGTCCCACTGATTGGAAGGGTTATAGTTGTGTGATGGTGCCACGTAGACAGGTTAGCTCATCAGGCCCTTAACTCTTTGTCTGCTTAAGTTAAGGGAGAATAAATCAGCAGCATTAGCATGATTTTATAGTAAAGATTTTTTAATGTGCATTTCCAGAGGACTCTTCTATTCAAATAAAAGTATTCTACTTTATGTACTATTTCTGTAAGCCCATCCATCACAATGCGGGACCAAAACAACGAACGGACTTGGGGGTACGAGGTCACTTAATATTAAAAAAAAAAAAAAAAAGATTCCACCCTCTCAAATTGCCTAAGAGAATATGGTTAGATTTACATCAGCCTTAGGTTCAATTTAGCAAGTTAGAGGTGAGCAAAACTTCTTAGTTGACAAGTTACAGAAAAGCAAAAATTCTTTAGCCGGGAATGGGATTATCTTTTCTTCTTATTCCTCTGGTTCAAGATCTTAAACTAAAATTATTATCTTCAGTGGAGACAAATCAAGAAAAATTGTATTCCCTAAAAGAAAGTTTCTCAGAAAAGAATGGGCCAGTTACAGGAGTCCTGTGCAAGAATTTTTGCTTCCTGGACTAATTTCTAATCAGTCTTTAGTAACTTGCATTATTAACACCGAGTCTAATTTCATTCGGTGTTTAACAAGTGTCTAATGACTCCATACTTCTGTGCCCTCTGTTCATCAGCATGGGAAAGGAGAACAGAGGAGAAATAGCTGGGTTTACTGGGGATTCCGCTAATGAGGCTTGAGCCTCAAGCTCCAGACCCTTTCGAGACCCTGCACTTCGTTTTGGGTTTGATATTTTCTTTTCTTAAAGAGCACCATCAAATTTTATCCACTTCAGGTCACACCAAATCTAGATTATTCCTAGGGAGAAATCAAGTCTCTTCCCTCAAGGAGCTGATGGTCTGAGAATGTTCTTTATCTCCCACCCCCTCCGTAACCCTTGCCCCCTCACCTCTCCTAAATCAATGCTTCCTCAGGCACTGTTTGCACAAGATTCACCTGGGATGGTGCTGCCGACACAGTCACAGGCATATCACGATTCTGATGCAGGTTTCAGGTAAGTCCTGCTAATCTCCCTCTGGGGATGAAGCATGGCACTGATATTTCTGCCTCAGTTTCCCTAACTTTCCATGCACTTTCTAGAGAGTGGCCAGGGTCATAGCGTGCAAATCATAATACCATGCAATTCGGCAATATTTCTTGGATGAAGGCAAACAATAATTAGTTCCTCATTCAAAATCATTATCACAGTATAAAATCCAAACTCCTCGGCATGCTGGCCTTCAGGCAGCTCCAGGTCCACCCTCCTTCTGCCGCTTCTCCTTTACCCCCAGTGTTCCTATGATTCTGAAATGCTCCCAGGCACGCTTAATGTAATGGCCTGTCATGCTTTTAGGCCTCCTAACTGGTGGCCTCCTTTTACCCACCATAACCCTCACTCCCCCTCGTCAGCACACACAGCTATGCAGCATGGCTTCCGGGTAGCTTGATTTGACCCCTCTCTGACCCCACACCCCCCTTCTCCAGGCAGATTTAGGCATCCCTACTTCTAAGCATCCTTGGCACCTGATAAGCATGTGCATTAAAGTACTCCTCACGCTGAGCTGTCATTGTCTCCTGGCCATTCTTCTCCTGCTGGGAAATTCTGAAGGGCAGGATCTGTATCTTTTTATCTCTGTATCCAGGGCTCTTATTATGGACCACAGCGCCTGGCCCATGATAGATGGTCAATTTAAAAACATTTTTTAAAAATGTAGAGAGGAATTAAAGAAATTAGATAACAAACAACAGGATAATATCAACAAGTAGACAACTTCTGTATACTTTGCTATTTTTTTCATTATCAAGTAATTTGAGGTATCTCCATGTGCACGGATTTATACCAGCCTCCATGCAAAGGTTTACCCTAAAAGGCAACCCTTACCAGCAAACAGGGGCACATTTCACTCACACAAAAAAAGTGTGGTCACCCAAGGGAGCAAAGAATTGATAAGGTATTCAAGAGCCTCTCCCCTCAGAGTTAACTACTTGGAATCTCTAGACTGGAGCCATGACCTCTGCTCCTCAGAAGCTGGAGTTGCAAGTCTTGGGTTCTCATCCAAAGCCACCACTTCCACGCCTAACAAGTTGTGTAACACCTGCAAGCTTCTGTTTCCTTATTAAAAAGGAGAAAATAGTACAGACTTCACAGACTGTAGGCTTTGATCCTAAGGATCGAATTAAGTAATTTGCATGAAGCCATTCATTGTTTCTGTGCCTGACACCCAGTAAACACCCAGCAAATGGTATTTGTTGTTGTTATTTCCAGTGCTTACAAAGTTGAGCCGACTCCCAATGTTTAATATGATTCCTGGTCCTTCTCATTACAGAGCAACACCCGGCTATATGTATTTCTTGTACAGATTGCAGGTTACAACTGGGTTCTGATGTGGCTGTCCTTTTACGGCTACAAGGGGCTGAGTCTTTGGAAGGTGGAAATTTCTAGTTTCAACTACATAGGGGAGTATATGGGTCCTCCGGGAGAGAACTCAGGCCAAGCATGGAATGTTCCCAGGTCCTGGTTCACAGGCAGATCTCCTATATCCTCCTGGGGCTCCACTTTGGGGTCTGTGGCTTCCGGAAGTCTCAAATCTTTGAGCACCCCTGGATGCTACAGGAAAGGGAGAGATGGCTGTTCTCTTAATCTTTTTTTTTTTTTTTTTTTTCCCATTAGTTATCTCTGAGCTATGATTAGACATTCTAGCCTTGTCCCAGACTTGCTACAATTTGGAGTTGCCATTGCTTACTTTGGGGCCTGAGCACTGAAGAGAGTGAGCAGCAGCCCCCTGAGGCCAGCGAGGTGATGGCAGCAGTAATAAGTGAACAACTCCACACAAGGCGAAGGTGATCCTTGGAGGGGGAGAGCCTCCCCAGCTGCCAACCTCAGAGGGTCTGACTTGGCACTGCCTAAGGAGCACATCTGGGCATCAGGCATAAAAGCAGCAAGCCGCTTACCTCCTCAAAAGCATTGCTGCCTGCCACCACGATATTTGGCCTGAAATTGTCCATTTTCACTTTCTTCTCCAGCCTGGTATTCAGATCTGCCAGGGAGGCTTCTGAGAGGATCATGATGGGGCTGCAGTCCGGGTAGGCCACCTGTGCCAAGGACACAGCATGATCATGCCTCGCTGCCCATGGAATGGCTCAGACCAACTGCACAACTAAGCAAAATCCAGAAGCAAAACCACCTGAGTGCAAAAGGGGAGAGTGGTGCTCAGGAAGGATAGGTGACACTGAGGGCTTGGAAACGGCCAAGTCAGGGTTCCTGTCCACCCTGGACGCAGGTGGGGCTCCCAATCTACACCCTGAAGGCAGCAGCCAGGCTCAGGTCCAGTGTTACCCTCCAGCCACATCTCTTCTTCCCTCAGGCGCCCAGCAGTGAGCCCCTTGCCACATCATCACCACCGGACATCGGCTCCTGCCAATCAGCTATACTCTAGCCATGATTTCCTTCAGCAGCACCATTCACTCACATGCATTTATTAAGCACCAACTGTATATTAGGCACTGTCCTAGGTGGGGAAATAGCAGTGAACACAGCAGATAAAAACCCCTGTATTCAAGGAATTTTTCGTTCAGGGATCATGAGGAGAGACTCCCCGAGGTGCATTTTGAACCTCATCTCACGGCAGAATGAAAGGCTTTGGATTGGGGGCTGTAGCTGACACAGGAGGAGGTGACTTCTCAGCCCCGGAAACAACCACACCCCACTGGCTGTGAAGGGAGGACTTGGAGAAAGTCTGCTTCTGTACTTTTAGGAAACCTGAATTTAGTCCCAATCAAGCTTCACTTTTGCCTCCCAGCCCATCCTCTCCTGAGTCCCCATCTCCCCGGGAGTCACCCCTGGCTTCTCCCTCCACAGTTCCTCCCATACTCCATCCTCCACGCATCCTGGAGAGCCCACCAGGCTCTCATCCACTTCCCTCTCCATCCCTGATACCTGCCCAGGGAGCACCCTCAGTAGCACCCCCCAGGACCATCCCTACACTTTCCTAACTGAGGCCCCAAGAGAGGCTCTTTGTGGCCCAGAAGGAAGCCAGAAGTGAAGGGCAGCTCTCTGCAAGCTCACCTGGTAATTCTGGACGACAGAAGGGAAAATTTTGCTTGATGGTCTTCCCTTCATGTTCTTTTCAAACTGAACCAGCCTGAAAGCTTCTGTTTTCAAGAAGTTGGTGAACCACTGAGCAGCCTCATCACCACAGTCCCTGCCCTGGATATCAAGACCAAACACCCTGGAAGGGTCACAGAGAGCAGTGAGGTTACTTTCTTCATCAACACACCGAGTGATGGGGTCAAGAGGGAAGTGCTGCTGGAACCTCACTCTCCCAGAAGACCAGTAAGTGGTCTGTGGGCCAAAGCTGGGCAGAAACAGAGGGGGAGGGAGCAGGGAAGAGCTTGTCAAACCCTAATAGGCTTGTAACTCACACAGACCTCATTGAAATGCAGATTCTGGTTCAGGAGGTTGGGCTGGAGCCTGAGGTTCTGCATTCCTAACAAGCTACAGGCTGCTGGTCCACGGACCACACTTTGAGTACCAAGGATTTAGGATACTTTCAGAAGAGAAGAACGGTGGTGTGGTAAGGGCACCCTGAGCTTGGAGTCTGGCAAGACCCGGTTAAAATTGGAACTCTGGGGCTTCCCCGGTGGCACAGTAGTTGAGAGTCCACCCGCCGATGCAGGGGACGCGGGTTCGTGCCCCGGTCCGGGAGGATCCCACATGCCGCGGAGCGGCTGGGCCCGTGAGCCACGGCCGCTGAGCCTGCGCGTCTGGAGCCTGTGCTCCGCAACGGGAGAGGCCACA